GATCAAAGTTTATATGTGAAATTAAATCTGTTCATCGATCGAGTCTCTTTAGAAAATTTGGACTAAATCGCTCAAATCATATGGATTAGTTTCACGATCTCTTATGATAGCATCAAAGTTGAATTTGCATAGCTGTCAGTGGAGAGTAAGAAATCTAATATTTCATTTAAATATCTTAATTTGCGTTTCAAAGATGTCTTACTGGTTTGGGAAGACGTGAGGGTAATTGATTACTTTTTATTTCGATTTTGAGTGAACTAACCCTTTAATGCTCAACAGTTTTGTCAAAGCAAGGATAGATGCATAACTCCCGAAAAGAAATTTAGAAGCTATTTTTTTCCTAGTTAGCTGTAAACTTTTGATGTGGTCAGGGCCACGGGACAGATGAAAGACAACACTTAAACTGTCTTCTCTCAGACGACAGCAAAAACACTTAAAATGACGCATTCACTGGCGCTGGAGTCTGTCACAAGCTCTCAGCCGGAATACAATCACATCCACCTGTTCCTTAGAGACTGTTCTGCTTCATTCGCACTAGCAAGGTTACCTATATTACAGCACAATTATTCATGCCTTGGGTTCTGAATTGCTGTCTTAGTGGCTATATTACATTTATTTGATATGACATTAACTGCGCTTAATGAACATGGCCAAAATCACGTAAAAACTAAATGGGTAGAAATTTAGCAAGGGAAAAGTAATATTGAATTCCTTGGATGTTTGGCCAGGCAGCTGAGATAATTCCTCGTCTTTGTGAGGAACATCTGAGGTTCAAATGTTAGAATTTAAACAGAGCACCGAATTAATTGACTGAGAAGCTCTTGGGGTTGAGACAGAAAAGAGCGTTAGTGACCCAGTGGCTTTGGTCCGAGTGTTATCACTTCAGTCATTTTTTCCAGCTTTCTTCCTGAGGATTAATTTCAGTCATTTTCTCACTTGGATTTAGATTGTATTTAATGTAGCATTTGCAGATAGAGAATCGTGAGAATCCTTGGATGAGGATGAAGACAAAGGCTGAACCTAGAATAAATTCCCATGCAAAAATCCAGCTTAAAGCAAAATCAATCACGCTTTCTAGCAGCGTAGCTTTCCCAGCCAAAAGCCATTACTGGCATGTCTAACAGTGCTGGAATCTATTGAAATGGACTAATCCTTAACTATCCAAGGATGTATTTTTACCACGTGGACTGTACTTTGTTCTTAAAGTTCAATTTAAACATGCTAACTTGTTGAAATTCGAACTTTCAGTTCCAGAAACCGCAAGACCAATATCCTCCATTCCGGTTTGGGACCGTGCCCAATGGCAGCACAGAACGAAACATAAGGAGCAATTATCCCGAAATGCATTCTCACATGGTCAAGTACAACCAAAAAGGTGTGGAGGATGCTCTCAACAGTCTCAAAACTGGGTGTGTTTCTTGTAGTTTGTCACCTGAATCTGAAACAAATCTTCCCCCTGTGTATTATCTTCCCCACTGACGTGGATAATCTCTTTACTGCTAACAGGAAACTGGATGCCTTCATATATGATGCAGCTGTGCTTAACTACATGGCCGGTAAAGACGAAGGGTGTAAATTGGTGACCATCGGTAGCGGGAAGGTATTTGCCACGACAGGCTACGGCATCGCCCTTCAGAAAGAATCTCGCTGGAAGCGCCCCATAGACCTCGCTCTTCTTCAGTTCCTTGCAGACGGTAACCTCAGAAACGTACATTATCTAGAGGAGCTCTGCTTCAAAAGTCTGACTGAAATGTATTATGTATTATCACAGGTGAGACTCAGAAGCTGCAGACAGTGTGGCTCACTGGAATCTGTCGTAACGAGAAGAAAGAGGTTATGAGCTCTAAGCTGGACATTGACAACATGGCCGGAGTGTTTTACATGCTTCTAGTGGCGATGGGTCTCAGTCTGCTGGTCTTTGCATGGGAACATCTACTGTACTGGAAGCTACGGCATTCTGTCCACAAGTCTGAGCGTTTGGACTTCTTGCTGGCTATTAGCAGGGTAAATATTCTGGGATCAATTCTTACGAATCCAGTCTACAATATGGTGTAGAATGCAAAGTATATAAATCAAAATGAAAAACATGTTATTGTTCTATTTTTTACCAAAGCAATTAGCAAGAACATGCATGTGGCAAAATATATCAATAACAAAGAACCTAGTTAAAATGAGAATTATACAAAGAAAGGTTGAATGTACCTTAACAGAGACTTTAGAAACACAAATGTGGTGAAATGAATTTTCAGGGGAACTCCAAGCTGTGAATGAGCACTAAAAGTCAAGGAAAAAGCTGTTAAAATTAAATGAGGGTCTTGGGGTTATGGCATAGCTTCCAAAGCCATTTTTAAGCACATTCATAAGCTTAACAAACTTGAAGACCTCCTTTAAATGTGAAATATTACAAATTCATAGGCAGCTACAACACTTTTCTATTGACTAATTACAGCCACTCTCGGAGATAATTATAATACTGATAAACAGAGAATCCTATTAGCCACTAACAGTTCTTTGGGTAATTAACCACATGTAAAATCAGCTAATTGATTTTTGATGTGGTAAAAGTGAGTAATTTACGACTTTTATTTAGGTAATTGCAGAAAAAATATAGAAACTTGATTTTGTCAGACCTTTGCCATTCATTAGGACTGTACTTTTATTTTCTCAGTATTTTAAGACAATATGGATAGCTTTTAAGGAGATTTTATTATGATATCATGAGGTAAAAACAGTAAGTCTGTTTGCTATTTGGCACAAAGAACCATTTAGGGGAATCTAAAAAGCCAGTCTCAATTTTCCTTATTTCTTCCCTGAAGGGAATCTACAGCTGCTTTAACGGTGTGGAAGACACAGACCGTAAAGGGAACATGCAAAACCCGGATGTCACCACCAGTTACACTCAGGCCAACATGCTGAAGATGCTCCAAACCGCTAAGGACATTGTCTCATCTGCAAGAGTTGAAAACTCCTTGGACAATGCCACAAAGACCATAGAGAACTGGAGTCGACGTGATCCAGAGTCAGCCAGACCTAGTCTTCCTACCTGCCTCATAGGAACGGACTTCAGCCACAGTCGCCTGCCCTGCATCGCCAGCGTTACAGACAACCACTCACCGTACCCTCAAAACATGGACAGCACTACTCAGCACTTACTGGAGAAGCCTCATGTGGGAACACGGCCTACCTCACTGCGCTACACTCTTCCCGCACGCACCAGCCACCACCACATCTATGAACGAACGCTACCAATATCTAGCCTCAGTAGTCCCCATATTGCCATGAGAGACCCTCCACCTCCTACAGCCCCAAAACCCCACGTGTACGTGGACCAGTCCTGTCACCACCCTACCTCTCGCTACGTCTCTTACCGTGACTTTCAGGTACCGGACATCTTTGTGGAACACCAAGAACCTTCGGGGAGCCATGAACAATACATGGCAGGTCTGGGTTGCAAAAAAAGGTCTCATAGCTACGTGGCAGCATCTCCAGAAACTCGACGGAGGGACGACTATGATGTTCCCCAGTCCTGTCTGGCTGAGCTTAAAAGCAACCACCTTGTGGAAAACCATTCCCATACGACACCTTGCATAAGAAGCCACTTCCAGAGACCCAGCTCTAGCTGCAACTCCTGCTCCAAGTTGTATCTAGAACCGGAGATGGATGACGTTCCCCTTCTGGGGAAAGATAACATGAACCGTCGCGCCTCTTTTCTCAGGGCTACTTGGGGTGGTGACAGGATCCGGCAGCTGGATGAGAAGCCCTCCACCTCTGCATCTTCGACCAGTTGCATCAACATGCCTGATCTGTTCCCTCGAGTGGTGGTGACCAATCCCAAGCCTTCGAAGATGTATGGCAGCGCCAGTAACAACCTTCGCTACAACATGGCTGTGGAGCCAGCCTATCTGGACCCAGCCCACATGGTCTCCTACCCGTATAAGACGCAGAAGCTCAAGTACTCAAAGTCCATCCGCCTTCCTTCATACCGGGAGGCGATTCTACAGAATACCGCATCCCTGCGGCGCTCTTCTTCCACACTAGTGCACGGACACTACTCAACGTACCTGAACTCTTACACAGACCTGCCGGTGTACTTGAGTCCTCTTCCGCAGGGACCCGGTCACTTCCATGAGCATTCCAAAGACACGTGCCACCTGTTTCCATGTGTCAACCATTGCCCGGATAATGCCACCTTGGTGCCCCGGTTAGGCAGCAGACCTGTATTGTACCAGAACACTGCTACCGGAAGTTATGAGGGGGCTGGGCGCTCAAACGAGGAGTCGTTGCACACTGTGCCGTTCTCTTCCGTGCGCAGGGACCGCAGGCAGGTTCTAGTGGCACGGAACGTACACAGTCCCTATGCCCCACGGCCCTGGGGTAGGGTATCTAGTCTGGAGTCAGAGGTTTGAAGACCTTTTCAGAGATCTCCAGAGACTGTTTCCCCCAAACTGTGGGGGTAAAATACTGGGAACTGCTAAACGAAGTCAAGCAAAAAAGCTTAAGGTGGTAATCTCAGTGCAATAATACCCTAAGACAGCAGGGATGGGATGGGGGAATGTACAAGTGATTACTGTGGAGACTTCTTTCAATATACTTTTAAAAAAAAATAAGAGTAAAAATAATAACGAACTGTTCTTAATCTATAATCTATTGATTGTAATTTAAACTGTTTTTAAATGCCATTACACCAATAACACTCATTCTCTGCAAACAATTGGATGTAGCATGTTTTAAGGCAGCTTTAAAACCAAAAGGGTTTGAAATGAAAATCTGGTTTTTATTTGAGCCAGGGCATTCAGCCATTTTGAATCTGAAGAACCACTGGATAATTTTATAACATAGCCACACAAAAATGTCTTCCAAGAATTTTCTAAACCCAGGGGTTTGAGAAAGCCATTCATTGTCAAATTTTGTCACTTCACTGATGTAATTAAGATCTGATTTTAAGAATGGTGAAGAATTGATTTACCTTGTGTAGTTCCACAGCTATTTCACTGTGTAATAAACGATGGGATGGCCTGAGGGCCAATTGAAAAGGACTACTGTCTTTGTGTCTTCTGCAAAGGAAAAACCAAAGTAGAGTAGAAACGACTCATCAAGCAGCTGCATGTCCAAGTCATTAGACATCTTCTTGCAGAGACAACCTCCCAAAAGGCCTTGTGTTACCAACGTACAGTCCTGTCCTATTAACTGTGAAGAAATGAGGATTTATTTAGGAAATTTGAAAATGATTTCTAGTTAAACAAAGACAGATGAATGCCCCCAGCGCTGAGGTCCTGAGATCCTCACAAATAATTAACCTTTTGAAATAGCTACAGTAGCTTTGAAATGTACAACTTTATGAATTCTCATGCATTTCATAATTATCTTCTAATCCAGCAGGTGGTGAACAATATTATAGACACTTTCACTTAATTGCCTTGCTCACCTAAAGTTCTTGGGAATATAGAGTCTAGAAAACCAGTCTCTACAAAATGTTGGATGCATATAGCCACATAAATGTATGCCAAGTTAATATATGACCTAGGAAGAAGAATGTTTCATGAATACAATTTCACTCTTGATTCGCTCTACACATAGTGGCAAATGCATTACTATTCATACTTGCCAAATGGAAAAACCATTACATCTACAGATTCTGCTGTAAATCAGTGCAGGGAACGCATGGACTGCATTAAAAAGGCATACACGAACACAGTATGGTATTAAACGGTGTTTTTTTATTTGCTGACCTCATGTTTTAAAGCAGCCTGTGGTGAAGTCGATGCATGGCGAGTAGGTCAAATGCTGACTCAGCGTGGCAGTTGCATGCTCTCCGAGAAGAGTTTAATCCATCTCACCTTCCTATGTCTTCAAGATGTGACGTGGGTTACAAACATTCATCTTTCCTGTTGAGCACCGTTGTGGTCTTGGCCCTTCCTGAGGGCCCCAGGAGGACTGGAAGTGCAAAGGTCAGTGTAATAACGTTAGGACGAATGGGCTGATTGACCCTGGGGAACAGTATGCTTAATCACGCCAACTTAGGATGATGCACATCTGGGCAGTGAGCCAATCAGCAGGGACACAATATCGACCTATAGCATCCACCCACCTTCGTTTAGTACCCTTGAGATGGAACAAGATGGAAAAGTGACCACGAGGATCAAGCTCTTGAATGAAGAATGAAACCTTGAACTCTCCTTTCAGCTGTACCAGGGGTGCTGGAGAGAGAGGAAGCACATGTAACAGTGTCATTCAAAGCTGCTGACAGAAGAAGCTTTTCATTAAGGGAGATTTGGTCTGTGTATGTGTGTGCGATTCATTTTCCCTGTCATTGTTATCGGAACAACTTTATCTGGCAACTTCCCAATCACAAGATTTATTGTCTCATCTCAAAAAGAGAATGCAGTTAGCATGGAGAAACAATCTGAGGCTTATCCTCTCATCTCTGCACTCTGATCTATGATGGTGTTTGTGTGAGCCACAACGTGAATAATCGGAAATTGGCAGATACAAGTTAGATGACTTTGAGGCTCATGAATGTACATGAGTGTGAGAGAAATGTACGATGATAACTAGGATGTGATGGATCTATTTCATCAGGTCGTGTGTAGCGCCTCAGATGGGCCGGGTTTCAGGGGGAAATGGGTATGGCTGAAGAGCAGAAGGTTAAGGTTTCTACGATAACTTTAGAAGGAAACAAAAGCAGCATCAGTACTCAAAGCCCTTCACAGCTAAGATTTATCAAAGCTTGATGACAGATCAGTTCTTCGGGCAATCAATTTTCAAGCCTATATGAGCTATTATTTTTCAAAACGGCACTGAGATGAATAATGGTTTCAAGAGGCCTTATTTAATTGTATCTAATAAGAAAGGCGGGATTGTTGACATGGCAGATCATGCAATGTCATTAAAGCTGTGATCAATGAATGCTGAATTTTTTGTGTGGTGAAATAAAGGAAGAGTTTGCAATTGTAAAGATCGTCAGATCAAATGTAGGACGGTTTCTATGCAACATTTGGTGCAGATAGTAAAGACCTCATCAACAATATGGCTGGCGTCCACCCAGGTTCTAACAGACCCTGGCTGCAAACTGTAAGCACTGCCCTTTTCCGTGTGCATTGGCATGAGCCTCGATTTTGTGGGCAGATGCCATGACATCTTGGGGAGCTCATCAGTGTGCATCATGAGTTAGGTGGCACATGGGCAGTAAAGCCAGTGTGACCTGGCAGCGGCAGATTGCCGACCATGATGGCATCTGATCTTCATCATCCATTATTTTTTGGGTGTGCAGATGGATCTGGCTCCCATCGGGAGGTCCCTCTCTGCTGGTCACACAAATGGCCTCTCATGGGTGGTTAGATGAGCTGCTCAGATAATGGATCAAATAACAGCATAACAAGATTCATTATCTTTCAGAAGAAAATCTGAATGATGCTAGGCCTATTTTCTGTCACAGTGCTGGTTCTGGGCAATGTTCATTTTTGCACTCTTTTCGTTTTTATTCAGTCAATTAAATTTTAGAGTGCAAAATATTTAAACACTTTATTTTTAACACGTAAAAATGTAATTGTTATGAAATTCATGTTTTAATTATTCATTGTCCATGTTTTGCGAGTTGTAACGACAAGAGCTTATAGCCTGGTACGTTCGCGTTATTTTTTGCAAATGTAGGCGAAATATGTAGGCGAAACATGCAATTTTGTTAACCCACTAGAAATTCGGAATTTTTGTTGTCTTCACTGTTTAGCTTCAGCTCACGCAGGACAGTTCCCAAAAATAATTGACTATCATCGTCTTTTTTAGTTAATTAACTAAAAAAAAGGGCTGTTATTCCAGCCCGTTTTTATCCCAAGACATCATATACTGACACTTTTGCCAATGCGTCTACATCCAACGCACATGGCACCCTTTAGCGTCAATATGAGACGCAGATATATATGGGCTAGAAGGCACCTCCTAGGGGTCTAACCCTAACCCTACCCCAGACCTAAACCTACCCAATACCGAAGCGTGTTATATTTTGACGCTAAAGGGTGCCATGTGCGTTGGATGTGCTGTATACGCATTGGCAAAAGTGTCAGTATATGACGCCTTGGGATGAGAATGCGTTGGCTATTCTGGAGTCTGGACTCTGGGAGAGGATCCAAAAAGTAACTCCAAGTGACTCCTATCTTGGCCCTTGAATTCTCTGATTCTGAGCATTGAGAATAGTGAGTTGATTCCAAAGGTGAAATTTAAATCCAGGCGATTGTTTATTTCCTCGATTTCGTAACTAGGCTTCACACCCTAAGCTAGCAAGGGAATTTGTTTCATTGACTCAAATCTTTTGATTCTGTTCACCAAAACAACTTGTTCAAATTCGTACATTGATTCATTGACTTTTAAAATGTTACATTATTATGCCAGTAGGTGATGAGTATTATTTTGAGTATTACTTTCAGTCTGATCATTAATTAATTTAAAATACTAAATTGGAAATAATAAGATTTTAAAGGACAACAGCAAACAATATATTGACATTCATATCAATCATAATAAATTGCCCTGTTTGTTATGATTAATTCACTGGAAATTACTTTTGGAATCAACTTAAAATTGAATTAAAAAAACTGGCAATGGAATGGAATGGCTCTGCCCCTCTTTTTCAATGAAGCCATTATCACAGTGTTCAAGTAACCAGAGTGAGTCATAACATCCATTGATTAGATTTAGATTTCTTTGGGGACAGTGCTTCTCTGTCTGGGCAAACTGGCATCTCTGCGCTCCAATGAAGTGGCACGCTGTCACTTACCAACAGTTCCACCAATTAACCCATGCAGCATTTGAAGCCCTTACTGAATTTGAGAGGCGCACTAGTGATCTTCTGTCATCTCATCACATGTTAATTTCATGATATCGATACTTCTATATGCCAATAGCTACAGGCGCACACACAATAATTGATATTCTTCATACAGAGAGCTGCTATGAAGCAGCATTCCCTGCACATCCTCACCCTGAATAAATTACCTCACACTCCATAAATTTTCCCAGATGTTAAGAGTCACCTTGAGAATAGCTCTCCGAATCCTATCAGTAGAGGAGAAAAAGAGAGAGAGAAATTGCTCGAGGCTTGACAGATAAAGAGGACAAGTCCAGCAGACAACACAAAGTAAGAAATCAAAGATTAGAACTGTATGTATGTTAATGAGAAAGCTTACACATATAATCACAATAAGGCTGCCATAATGCATTCAACATATATATAAGTTTTCTCCCTGTGGGAGAAAGTGCCTTGTTGATGCTAGATGTCAGAGGAGAATGGGCCGACTGATTCTATCTGATAGAAGAGTAACTTTGATTGAAATAACCACTCGTTACAACCGAGGTATGCAGCAAAGCATTTGTGAAGCCACAACACGCATAACCTTGAGGCGGATGGGCTACAACAGCAGAAGACCCCACCGGGTACCACTCATCTCCTCTACAAATAGGAAAAAGAGGCTACAGAACCTCACCAAAATTGGACAGTTGAAGACTGGAAAAATGTTGCCTGGTCTGATGAGTCTCGATTTCTGTTGAGACATTCAGATGGTAGAGTCAGAATTTGGCGTAAACAGAATGAGAACATGCATGGATCATACCTTGTTACCCCTGTGCAGGCTGCTGGTGGTGGTGTAATGGTGTGGGGGATGTTTTCTTGGCACACTTTCGGCCCCTTAGTGCCAATTGGGCATCGTTTAAATGCCACGGCCTACCTGAGCATTGTTTCTGACCATGAATATTAAACGTTTATTATAGTGACTGGGGCTGTTAAAAAAAGCACAAGAAGCTCCATAAACGCACCACAAAGGTATGCGTCATACTGTATTTTCAGCCCGTTCTCATCCCAAGGCGTCATATACTGTCGCTTTTGACATTTCGTCTACACCTTTAGCGTCAATATGAGACGCAGATATATATGGGTCAGAAGGCGCCTCCTAGTGGTCTAACCCTAAACTTACCCAGAACTAAACCTACCATAACCGAACAAAGCTCTGTGCGTGTTATATTGACGCTAAAGGGTGCCATGTGCGTTGGATTTAGACGAAATTTCAAAAGTGTCACTATATGATGCCCTAGGATGAGAACACGTTGGTATTTCATACGATAACTTTGTGAGGAACGAACTGAGATCTAAGTAATTTGTGCATGCAGATATTCAAATGTGGTGCATCAATGTACTAATGCTTTGGCTGAACTAATTTGACGTGAACAAAATAGTTGAAATGTTTCGAGGTCCTAGATATAATAAAACATTTTAAAACTCATGTTAAATGGTTTCAATGACGACAATGAAACACAAAACAGTATGACGTATTCAACAGACTAGTTTTGTCCCTTAACGGCCTCATTTGCGTCCATGACAAACATGGCATCTACTCTGTCTCTGACTAATATCTATAAGGACCTTCTTCTGAAGATTCCCGCTGATGTCAGTATTGATTGATTTCCATTTGCAAAGCATAAGCATGAAATCTAATTACTGCCCGTTGTTATCATCTCTGAAGTCCACGCTCTCCGAGTTGAAAGCATCGTAGGGTGGGTTTCTGGAAAGCATTAGCTGAGTGTTACAGGAAACCCTAATATCCTTATGTGGCATTGATGCCTTACGCTGAGGCCACCAACTGTTTCAGGTCATGTGATGGAGCCTAACGCCAGGCGGACATCCAGCTGCTTCGGGCCATTGGGTTTAATCTCTTGATCATGGCAGACCGTGGATACATACATGTGGGTAGACATGTGTATATACAGATGGACTGGGGTGGGCTGAGGATAACGAACAACACAAATCCTCCTCCCCTCAGCTTTCTGTGCCCTTTTTCCCCAAATTGACACACACGCCCCTAGTGTGATCATTACCAAGATCTCTGATTAAGAAAGAGTGTTTCAAGGTCGCCACTGAGAACAATGTCAACTTCAGGTTCCTGATTAATTTTTCATTCATGACATTTATTAGTTACCTTTTTTTTTTTGTAAAATTGAGTTTTACAAAAGGTTCTTCCTGTTATGCAGTACTTTATATTAAAAAAATGCGTTGAAATTATATCACTTCTTGGAGGATGTCATTAAAGTGTCCCAATTACTGCTATTTAATAGGTTGCTATTTTTTGGTCTAGGTTTAACATGCGTCCAAGGTAAAAATAAAAACGTAAATTTTCTCTTAATATACACTGCAGTCAGAAAACTTGTTGTTCATTCCTCCTTTCAGCGAGCCTACTCTGCTCTGATTGGCTTACTCTACTCTGATTGGTCTATTCTGCTCTGGTTGGCCTACTCTGCTCTGATTGGTCTACACTGCTCAGATTGGTCTACTCTGCTCTGATTGGTCCACACTCCTCAGATTGGTCTACTCTGCTCTGATTGGTCCACACAGCTCAGATTGGTCCACACAGCTCTGATTGGTCTACACTGCTCAGATTGGCATACTCTGCTCTGATTGGCCTACACTGCTCTGATTGGCCTACACTGCTCTGATTGGTCTACTCTGCTCTGATTGGTCCACACTGCTCAGATTGGTCCACTCTGCCTGCTCAGATTGGTCTACTCTGCTCAGATTGGTCCACACAGCTCAGATTGGCCTACTCTGCTCTGATTGGCCTACACTGCTCTGATTGGCCTACACTGCTCTGATTGGTCCACACTGCTCAGATTGGTCCACACTGCTCAGATTGGTCCACTCTGCCTGCTCAGATTGGTCCACTCTGCTCAGATTGGTCCACACAGCTCAGATTGGCCCACACAGCTCAGATTGGCCTACTCTGCTCTGATTGGCCTACACTGCTCTGATTGGTCCACACTGCTCAGATTGGTCCACTCTGCCTGCTCAGATTGGTCCACTCTGCTCAGATTGGTCCACACAGCTCAGATTGGCCTACTCTGCTCAGGTAGGCGTACTTTGCTCTGATTGGCCTACACTGCTCTGATTGGTCTACTCTGCTCTGATTGGTCCACTAAGCTCTGATTGGTCTACTCTGCTCTGATTGGTCTACTCTGCTCTGATTGGTCCACACTGCTCAGATTGGCCTACTCTGCTCTGATTGGCCTACACTGCTCTGATTGGTCTACACTGCTCAGATTGGCCTACTCTGCTCTGATTGGCCTACACTGCTCTGATTGGTCTACTCTGCTCAGATTGGTCTACACTGCTCAGATTGGCCTACACTGCTCTGATTGGTCTACACTGCTCAGATTGGCCCACTCTGCTCTGATTGGCCTACACTGCTCTGATTGGTCTACTCTGCTCAGATTGGTCCACTCTGCTCAGATTGGTCCACTCTGCTCAGATTGGTCCACTCTGCTCTGATTGGTCCACACTGCTCTGATTGGCCTACTCTGCTCTGATTGGCCTACTCCGCTCTGATATTAAATCAATATTTTCTCAAAAAACATTTTATTGAAATATTTTTTAAAAGAAGAGCATCTTGAATATTCCCGACAAGCTGGATGGCGCCTTGCATGGCTGACACCGCCGTCGGTGTATGAATGAGTGAGTGAATGGATGAATGTGAGGCAAAATGTAAAGCGCTTTGGTGGCCATTGGGTCTGTGAAAGCGCTGTATAAATGCAGTCCATTTAACAAATGTTTTTTCTTTCAAAAACTGTTAGTTCAATATCTTATCCAATATATTCAGACGTGTTGGAACATTAAAATGTACTCCACAATAGAAATCTTCAATCAATTTCTAGTAGGCTACACTTATTATTTAAGGATTCACCTCATTCCTAACAAATGCCTTACGACCAGACCGTGTACGAAACATTAAGTCAGTGATAAAGTGAGTAACACACCACCATTCAGTCACGTTCCATTATGTCTCACGCTAATTATCACAGCAGAGTGAAAATGAGGCCAGATTGTTTAAAGGCTCATTCATTAATTACCCAAAGCTGTTAGTTATTTTTTTTTTGCTTAATTTAAGACCTTTAAATTATTCAAGTGTAAATTTGATTAAAAAAAACAAACAATGCCTGCAGTTTTTCTTGCCGCACATGTGGTCACATGGTGGTGTGAAAATGAGATGGGAGAAGAAAAAAAGTTTCAATGCTTTTTGTGTTGCTGTGAGAAACTTTCCAGACACAAAACATTTAGTGAGCGAATGCAAAGTTTCTTGGGGGAACCCAAAACATTTGTGAGAGAAGTACAAAGCATAGACCTAATGAGCCCTTAAAGGGACATCCCAAACACAGAATGTTGGCACAACATACCCAACCGTCTAGAAACATGGCCAAAATGTTGCTATAACAACATTGTGTGGTGAAGGTTGTAACAGTGTTGTCACAATGTTGACATTGAACCACCATTCAGGGGTGCACTTCCCAAAAGCATCGTTAGCCAAATATGGTCGCAAGTTCCATCGTTATCAGCATACTGTACTTCAACGAGTCTGTGTTTCCTGAAACCATCGTTCCAACGAACATTCGCAATCGCAAACAGCATCGCAAAGTTGTGTGGTTGGAACGACAGCTCTCGACATGCGCTTCCTATAATTGTTAGAATTATGGGAACCACACTAGCCAGACGGGATTTAAACTTTGGTTTGCAGATGAAAAACATTCAAAAGCACAACGTTCTCTCACGATTCCTGATTTCTAACGCGCACTCACAGCGATCTGATTGGCCTTGCGGCTGTCAGAACAGAAACGAAAGCTGCTGCTCACTCACTTCAAAAATGTAACACCCATGCATATCTGATCCTTTTAGTCATTGATTTCTTTCAAGGCCAAACACAGTTGATGATACGTGCAGGAGAAACAGCAACATTAATCTACTGTAATACACAGGCACAGTGTTCCACTTCACAATGTTTACAAGCAGCATTGGCTGGCTCAGAGTGGTCATAAAGTGTTTTTTTGTTTTTTTTTGTAATTTAGGAGGATGAAATGAGACTGAACTCTGATACAAAAGTGTCGATACAAAAATCCCTGCTAAAACTTATGCCATCATTACATTTTCAGGAAGGCTTTTGGATACATTTTCAGATGCACAAATTTACAGTCAGGGATTTAAACAAACCCCAATCTGAGTATTAAAGGGATAGTTCACTTTGAAATAGATTTTTGATATGTTTTAGCTTACCTTAAGGGCATCAAAAATGTAGGTGTCTTTGTTTCCACAGTATTTTCAACATTTTTAAAATTTTTCAGTCAAACCGTTGTTGTCTGTCAGTCAAATAATGCAGGTTTAGGGGGTCCACCATGCACAGAGAAGTCAAAATTAAACATGATTTAATGACTCGTAAATGTACACATTGATGGCTAAAACAAATCAAAAATTAATTTCAAAGTGAATTATCCCTTTAACCCTTTCACTGTACACTTAGGCATCGAGTGTCATGTCTCAAAATATCGGCAAAATATGTTAGACCATGTCTCTGACCTGATATACTGTAAGGATATAATTATTTATTCTATTTAAGAGTCCGTTTTAGCCTACTGTGGACTCAATGGCAAAGAGGTGCACAGTTGAAGGTAGTGACCCGCTCTACGAAGGACAAACATTCATTTTCTTCCCTCCTGGTATGAAGCGAGATGAGAGGAGAGAAATCTCATTGTTTGTACTCTGGGATCAACGTGACTCCCCCTTATCTGCGTTCCACCTTTCTCCCAGGATCTGAAATGGACCAATAAAAGGCATTGAAGCACACATTGAGAGAGAGTTAAGGATGGAAGAAGTGTAATATGAAAGGAGGGAAGGTAAAGTAGAGCAGAGCAGGAGCTAAAACAGGATGAAAAAGTGATTACTGAACATTTAACAGGTCTGGGATTTTATGCGAGTGAAAACTGCAGTTCTCCCTGCAGAGAAATCATTTTGAGGGAACGGTCCATTACAGCATTCATCCCTCCCTATCACTGCTAAATGATCAGGCACACAGCTCCCATCATGCCACATTTTTGACCTTCATCAATGGAAACACATTTTTCCTGCTTTCACACCACAGTTCATGTGAGGCAAACAAATACAATACATTTTAATGGCTTATTACTTTTTAGGAGCATAAATCCATGTTTACTGTAAGATCTAGTAGATGTGTTTGAGACCGTTGTCTATTGTCTAACATAAAATTAAATGCAAGCATAAAGTAGCCAGTGTTAAAGACCCCCAGTGGTGAAAGTTAGTTTTTAATGTTGTTTGTATGACTATGTGGGGTTTTTAATATGCTTTTATGCAAATTCACAAGTCAGAACCATTGCTGAGTATTTTCTCCTTAAAACTGCAGTGAAAAAAAAAAGGTTTTTTTTAAAAATCACAGGCTTAAATAATAATCACTCACATCCTAGCTCACCTGTAGCTCTCTTCACAACAATCACAGACACAGGTCGGTTCCTTAAAACGGGCGTTTATTCTTTGGCTCGTCTTGGTTACGCCGTGAGAAGAACTGCATTTATAAATGAACATAGTACAAACACATCAGTCTGTTATACAATGCGGTCTTAAAAGAAACGAGATGCACAAAAAATGATGCTTTCAATACATCAAACAAATATACACGTGAAACAAATACCTCGTTGGCTGCTTGTCATGAAAAGAGGTCATTGAGTCCTTAGTACAACAAAATCCCTTTGACTTGGGACACCACTTATTTTAATTTAAATTAAACTTTCAGAGCCTCGTTAGGCGTTCGCTCACCAGCCCATCGTTGACGACGCGCAATGTTTCATCATTTCCGCTAAAGTGACGCACTCTCGCGCCTTACATTTAAAGAGACATAAATGAATTTACATACACATTTTTGCATTTTACCTCTAATAAATGAAGACATGAAATTAAGGATTTAATTATAAATGAAATAGCATGAAACAAATACATAAAGTATGCATAACAGCAATTACATCACTATTAAGCACCTCCTTTCACTATTTGTTAAAAATATTTGAAATCTTAAGGTTTCTGTTTTGTACTTTATTTGTGGAAAGTGCACTGATTAACTTCAAAACTTCCAATAACGTTTCTGTCTGAGACATCATGTACTCTCAGACTGTTTGACATGACCAGCATATTTGGTTAAACATGGATTGTGTGTCTGTCCTCTAGGCATGTCATTTTATTCCATTTTTATTTATGTCAAATGCGATGACAGATTTGTCAGGATGATTTTTTCTTCCTAGAAAGTGACTGTTACTATTATTACCTGCTCTATGAGCTCTGAGACTGTGGATGTGGAACCTTTTTTTTTAAAGGGACAATGCACATCAATTAACATTTTTTTGTTTACACTCAAGTTTGCAGATAGTCCCTTGGCAGGTCAACATCATATTACATAAAAAAAGAATACATGAAAAATAGAAAACAAAATCAGACATAAAGACATAACTTTTATTTTTCCTGTCCGTTTTCTAACTTTCAGATGGGTTTTGGGCTAGCCTTAGTTGCAGAACAGACAATACAAATCAAAAGTGTGAAAATCATTGTGATTTCTCATTGTTTTTGACAGAAATGTCCTCTTGCGTTTAAAAAAATATATAATAAATGCAGCCTTAGTGAGCAGAGGAGATGGATGAGGAGACAAAACAGTCCACGGCCTGGAGACATAGTTCGTGGGCAGCGGTTTTGTGCCACTCCACTTTCAGTGTCCAACTGAAGAGGCTTCTCACAAGCCCAATGCCCTAATTAAAATGGATGAACATTGCTGCAAAAGGCCTCCTATCATTTGTCAAACTCTTGCCGTGCTTTGACAAGCAAAGTAGAAATAATTGCCTTTTAGTGTAACGCTACAAATTCCAGCTATGCAAGGTGGGCTGCGCTGGTGGTTTGAGTTGCCAGATTGTGTAGAACTAAATGTTGGCCGGCGTTTCTTTTCCAATCGGCAGCTGCTCAAAATGCAAAGCCGTGCCCGCAGCTCCTTTCCCTGTATCATAATCACGTTTAACAATAGTCTAACATTTATAAAATGTTATTCCAGGTCATCATTTTCTCTTAATTTATCCATCAATCTTTTTTTTTTTTTTGCCATTGCCATTCGGTGCAACATTTTTAGAGCAGAAAAGTTTTACAGTGCAGGCGCCAAAACAGCACCATCTGTCTCCTCTAGACCACTGTTGGTGGCACAGAAAACAATATCAATCCATGCCACGTCAGGATTGAGTCAGGACCACAGAAAAGAGGAAAACATGTGAAATAGATCATGGATCGGGTGGTAAAAAAAAATGGTGGTTTAACTAGGCTGCAACACAGTATATGAATTTAGGGATCAGTCAGGGTGGTGGTCAAACGTTTCTAATGTATTTTGGATTAAATTTTATTTATAAAAAAAAAATTTATATTTATAAAAAACTGTAACAAATACATTTCAGTTAGAAGTTCATTTCATAACAAATAATACACTTAGAAAAATGATCGTTTTACTGAGCTGAAATTGCTGTTGCTAGGTTGTTGGGGGTGTTCAGTTCCAACACAGTCTCATGAAGATGCGTATCTATACCACGAGTGTCATTTCTCGTGGCATTTATACGCCAAAAGTGTTTTTTTTGTGTATATGGTACGCACTAAAAAACCCTGGGTTAGGTTTAGGGGGGAGGGGGGTGGGGAGTTCGTGCGTATTATACGCAAAAAAGTGCGTATCATATGTACGCGAAAATCGCGTGCCAAATACACGCAAAAACTGTTTTTAGCATATAAATGCCACGAGAAATGACATTCGTGCCATAGATACGAACTTTCATGAGATCGGGCTGTCAGTTCACACGTAATCTAGTTTAAAAGAAATTCTTCAAAAGCGTACATGGACAACACAATGGGCGTCAGTTATAAAACACCCGAGGCAACATCTATTTTAAAGTTTTAATTTCATTAATGCCAGTACTTAAAGGGATAGCTCACCCAAAAATTAAAATTACCCCATGATTTACTCACCCTCAAGCCATCCTATAGGTGTATATATGACATTCTTCTTTCAGAAGAACACATTCGGTGTTATATTAAAAAAAATGTCTGGCTCTTCTAAGCTTTATAATGTCAGTGTTCTGTTTTGAAGACCATCAAAGTGCTGCTATTCATCATAAACAAACTCCACACAGCTCCAGTGGGTAAGCCTTCTGAAGTCATGCGATGCATTTGTGTAAGAAAAATAGCCATATTTAAAATTTTATCGACTAAAATAACTAACTTCCGGCAGACGGCCTACGCAAGTCGACCTACGCCAAAAGTGTAGATGATGTAGGATTTAGGAGTAGCGAAAGCGTTGACATCTCTCGCGGTTCAAACAAATAGGGCTGGGAACCAAACTCGGGCTCCTCCGACATTTCTCTTTAAAAATTGTTGTTTTAGACTTCTAATTTGTGACTGTTTTTTTGATTTGCTGTATCCTCTGCGCTTTTATTTTAAATGTTTAAAATAAAATTAATTAAATGAGGCATATTGATTTGTCAATAATGGTCTACAGGCCTATACACCTGCAAACCTTGATATTCCCGCAAGCTGTTCCATTTTGCTCCATAAATCTACAGTGCACTCTTAGGGTGAACTTGTTGATTAATCAAATCATTAGGACATTCCCACTATTTCTGCTCAGCTTCAAAGAAGAACATGCTATTGAACTTAGTTCAAAGCAAGGCTGAGGTGAACCAATAGAGGGATCCTTGATACTTACTGGCAAACAGCTGTTGGGCAGCAGGCGAGTTTTCCCCCCCGTGAGCATCTGCCATTGCAAACTGATTACCCAAGAGTAGAGCAGCCTGTGCCACCCGCTCCAAACTAATCACATCTGTTGCTTTGATTAAGAGGCGAACAAGCTCTCAGCCTGGTCCTGGACCACCGAAGGGCTCCAGACTCGTAGTTTGGAGAGAGAGCAGACAAAAGGATGGACCAAAGATGAGAGGAACAGACATGCCTGTGAGTGCCAGATGGAAAAGACTGGAAGGAGAAAGGTATGGAACATGGAAAGGATGAGGAATGCATCACTCATAAGTGTCCTAACAAATTCACAACATACTGAAGTGATAAACGATTAATACACTTCAGTGTTCAGCCAAGTTTAACCAGCTGCAATCCACAAGTGAGCAGAGAAAAGGTGACAAGGCTACATTTATTTGACCAAAAACAAGCTGACCACAAACTGTTTTCTATTTTAAAATTATTATTACTCCAGACTTTAGTATCACATGATCCTGCAGGAATCATTCTAATGATGATTTTAAAGCATCCTTGCTCAAGAAAAGTATGGATATATAAAAAAACACAAAAAAAAAACTAGCTGTCTTCTAACTTGTAAATGATATTAAATGGTAGCTATATAATTCATTAAATTGTAATACAAACCCAATTCCATAAAAGTTGGGACACTGTACAAATTGTGAATAAAAACAGAATGCAATGATGTGGAAGTTTCAAATTTCAATATTATATTTAGAAAACAACATAGATGACATATCAAATGTTGAAAGTGAGACATTTTGAATTGCCATGCCAAATATTGGCTCCTTTTGGATTTCATGAGAGCTACAAATTCCAAAAAAGTTGGGACAGGTAGCAATAAGAGGCCAAAAAAATGATAAATGTACATATAAGGAAAAGCTGGAGGACCAATTTGCAACTTATTAGGTCAATTGGCAACATGATTGGGTATAAAAAGAGCCTCTCAGAGTGGCAGTGTCTCTCAGAAGTCAAGATGGGCAGAGGATCACCAATTCCCCCAATGCTGAGGCAAAAAATAGTGGAGCAATATCAGAAAGGAGTTTCTCAGAGAAAATTGCAAAGAGTTTGAAGTTATCATCATCAACGGTGCATAATATCATCCAAAGATTCAGAGAATCTGGAACAATCTCTGTGCATAAGGGTCAAGGCCGGAAAACCATACTGAATGCCCGTGATCTTCGGGCCCTTAGACGGCACTGCATCACACACAGGAATGCTACTGTAATGGAAATCACAACATGGGCTCAAGAATACTTCCAGAAAACATTGTCAGTGAACACAATCCACCGTGCCATTCACCGTTGCCGGCTAAAGCTCTATAGGTCAAAAAAGAAGCCATATCTAAACGGGAACCAGAAGCGCAGGCGTTTTCTCTGGGCCAAGGCTCATTTAAAGTGGACTCTAACAAAGTGGAAAACTGTTCTGTGGTCAGACGAATCAAAATTTGAAGTTCTTTTTGGAAAAATGGGACGCCATGTCATCCGGACTAAAGAGGACAAGGACAACCCAAGTTGTTATCAGCGCTCAGTTCAGAAGCCTGCATCTCTGATGGTATGGGGTTGCATGAGTGCGTGTGGCATGGGCAGCTTACACATCTGGAAAGGCACCATCAATGCTGAAAGGTATATCCAAGTTCTAGAACAACATATGCTCCCATCCAGACATCGTCTCTTTCAGGGAAGACCTTGTATTTTCCAACAAGACAATGCCAAACCACATACTGCATCAATTACAACATCATGGCTGCGTAGAAGAAGGATCCGGGTACTGAAATGGCCAGCCTGCAGTCCAGATCTTTCACCCATAGAAAACATTTGGCGCATCATAAAGAGGAAGATGCAACAAAGAAGACCTAAGACAGTTGAGCAGCTAGAAGCCTTTATTATACAAGAATGGGACAACATTCCTATTCCTAAACTTCAGCAACTTGTCTCCTCAGTCCCCAGACGTTTGCAGACTGTTATTAAAAG